CTGCCTGGTGTCCCTGTGCCCCTGGACTTCTGGCAATTTAGAAACCGCGACAGGTCTTCCTTGAACCTGTTTCCAGATCAGCCTCTGCTATCTGACTTGGGAAGGGATGTCCTTAGCTTTATCGCTTGACCTCCAGGCTGTGATGGAAATACAATGACCAGGGCCAATCCTTGCTGAGCATTTACCTCGTTCCAGGCACTGTGCTTTTACTCTATCAGGTCATTTCATCGTCACACATCCTACCAGGTCGGTGCCACTATCACTCCAAGAAACCAAAGCACAGAGAGGCTGACTAACTTGCCCACGGTCACACAGCTTCTAATTGGCAGAGCTGCTATTTTAAAGTCAGGCTGTCTGCTGCATATCAATCCATTTCCTTTTGCTTCCCTATGGATGACCTGGACCTTCATTCATTCCTTCATTCATTCATCGAGTGCTTTTGAGCATCTACTTGGTCTCAGGCAGCTGGCTACAAGCTGGTGTGGCTTCTGACCTCCTAGGTCCCACAGTCTATGGAGAACAAGATCAAGAAAAATGAATGTAGAAATAAAGATGTCATTCGAAAGTAACTGGCAGATGTGTGTCACATGGGCAAAACCTTGAGGGAGCAGTCCCTTTCCTGGTCAGAACTGGTGGCTGCCTTGTCCTTATTGTCAAACAGCCTACAGGTGATTAGGGACAGGGCACCACCTTGCTGGGTGGGGGAAATCCAGGGGACTGTCACCGGAGCACCTAAAGGTGGCACATAGATTGGATTTGGGCCATGTGGGAGGCTTCCTGGAGGAGGTGTTGTCTCCACTAAGATTTGAAAGAGGGTAAGAGTCAGAGAAAGAATGTTCCAGGAGGAGAGCATGCCATGCTCCAGGGGCTGGAGGTGCGGGGACGATGGGTGCTTGGAGAATTGAAGTGGTTTATTCTGGCTGGGAACATGAGAGGCAAGGAGGTCAGAGAGGAGGCTGGGGAGGACCGGGGCGAGTGCGGGGGTAGGAGGCAGCGAGGGATGCCCCAAGAGGCTTGTTGCTTTGGAAACCAAGAGGCGGAATGGCATGGTCTTTCACTTCCATCAGGAGCACCGGAGGTCCCAAGGTCTCCCCTTTGGGGTGGGCGTCAATGCCTTTGGGGACTCTGAGCTTGTGCAATCCGGGGCTCTCCCCCCCACCCCCTCTCTCTTTTTAAAAGAATAAATTGTCACTTTCCTACTCAATCTGGCTGCCGGCTCCCCTGGCCCCCGTCTAGCCGCCCACAAACGCACCACTCTGCTGCCTCCTGCCCAGATCGGCCCTGGGGCCCAGCCAGGAAAGGAGGYGGGGAGATTCTGGGGGCCACATTTGCCTGCCCCATCCACTTAGAGGCCCCCAGACTCCAGGAAGGTGGTGCCGGAGGGCCCAGAGTCCTGTGCTGCCCTGCTGCTGGCTGGCTGCCCTGCAGACCCCTCCCCTCTCTGGGCTGCTCTGGAGGACCAGGCCCAGGGGATCAAGGACTGCACAGTCCCCCACATCGCTCTAGCTATTGTCAGGGTGCTCGCTCCTTGACACCAACCCTAGGAGGGGACCCTGTCCTTCCCATTTTACAGTGGAGGATGCTGAGGCTCAGAGAGGTTGTCACTTGCTCCCTGGGCTGGCCAGTGGTGAGAAGCCCAGGGTTGAGACTCGGTCCGATAGATTCAGACACTTCTAGAAGGTTCTTTCTCTTGGCCTCGGTGTTCTCATTTAGAAAATCAATACAGCGGACCATCCACATTTGTAGGTTCTGCATGCATGGATTGAATCAATTGTGGATAAAAAGTATCTGGGGAAGAAACCTTGTGTYGGTTCTGCATGCACAGACATTTTTCTTGCTATTCTATAAACGATACAATATCACCTTTTATGGAGCATTTACTCAGGACTGGGCATTATAAATAATCTAGAGATACTTGAAAATGAAGAGAAGACTGTGCTTAGGTTATATGCAAAATACTATGCCATTTTATGTAAGGGAACCAAGCATGCAAGGATTTGGGGACCCATGGGGGTCCTGGAATCCATTTTCTACAGTGGCTGAGAGATGACCAGGAATCAAACACCAAATTTAACAATTATTTAATTAAGCAAATAAATCCACATTTCCTGGGTGCCCATATGACTTGAAATGTGTGCCTCTGAGTTGCTCACAGGGAGGAACATATAGGGCAAAAAAAAAAAATCATCATATACTAAGTATTCTACAAATATGTAGAGTACCTGGGACCATAGAGGAGGAGTGGAATGGGCCAGAGTGTCCAAGGTACACTCCAGGATCCGGTCTACTCTCTAGGAGAGAGGTACATCCAGCTTCTGGGACTCTGTGCTCCACTTTAAGAGCTGAGACTCTGGAGTTAGATGAGCCTCATTGAAAACTTGGCTTCTCGCCCCTCAATTTCTTCATCTGTAAAATGGGCATGGCGGTAATGCCTACGTCCCAGGGGGAGAGAGGGTCTGTTTTAGTCAGCTTTTCGCTGCGATGACTTTAAGGCCTGGCCAGAACAACTGTAGAGAAGGAATACTTTCTTTGGGGGCTCACATTTTCAGAGATCTCAATCCATAGACAGCGGGCTCCATTCCTCAGGGCTCAAGGTGAGGCTGGACATCATGGCGGAAGAGTGTGGCAGAGGGGAGCAGCTCACATGGGGATCAGAAAGCAGAGAGAGACTCCACTCACCAGATACAAACATAGACCCCCAAGGCCATGCCCCCAATGCCCACCTCCTCCAGCCACAGCCCCCTGCCTCCAGTTACCACTCAGTTAGCCCCACCAGGGACTAATCCACTGTCAGGTTAAGGCTAGGACCCGTCATTTCTCCTCTCCACCTTCTTGTACAGTCTCAGATGTGGGCTTTTGGGGACAGCTCACATCCACACCCTAACAGTGTCTGGCTCCTGGTGGGTATCCTGGTAAACACTGGGTATCGTTACAGCAGAAGCAGCTCAGGCCCCAGAACCTCCCCAGAGCCCAGGTGTGATGCCAGGTTCCTGGGAGAGGAAGAGGCTACCCAACAGGACTAATTCCCGTCTGCGCCCCAGAAACCCTGCAAGAGCAGGTCCCGAGTGAGTTCCCAAACGCTTGGCTCTCATTTCCTGTGTCCTGGAGAGTTCTTGGGCCCAGGGCCCAGGGAAAGGACATTTTTTTTTCTGGTTTGAAGAATCATAATGGCAGATACTTGTGTGGCTCTCCCTGGATGTCAGGCCCTCCTAAAAGCACTTCCCATTCATTAACCCACTTCAACAACGTCATCCGAAGCAAGTTGGGAGGAAAGGCTTGGGGKGGGGGAAGCCTGTGGTCTGGCCCAAGAGGCGCCTGAGGCTCTTCCCCAAAGAAAACCTGGGACTGGGCTGCGTTGGGGCATCAGTGCGTATGTTCAGGGTGGGGAGCGAAGCCGGGGGTGAGTGACGGACACCAGTTCTGCACTGAATGATGGGCGGTGTACCAAGGAGGAAGAAACCCAGGCCCTCTGGGATAGACCAGGGCCCTCCAGGATATCCTGTCCAGCGTCTGTCCTCCTTACCCATCACACGGGTGAGCCCTCGAGACCCACGGTCAGGGTTGGAAAAAACATTCATGTGGACTCCCTGCCTCCGCGTGATGATGTGGTGGCACTGGGAGGTGGGGTCTTTGGGATGTGGTTCGGGTAGTTGAAGTCATAAAAGTGGGGCACTCCGTGGTGGCATTATAAGAGCCAAATCCACCAGGACCTTGATCTTGGACCTTCCGTCTCCAGACCGTGGGAAATAGTGTCTGTTGTCTCAGATCCCAGTCTGGGATGTCTTCCTGGCCCAGCTGGAGCCCACTAATACACCCAGCAGGTTTGAGCAGAATGGAAGCCCCCCCTGAGGTTTGCCTGCAGAACCACGAAGACCCCTCATTCTTACCAGATTTGACACAAAAGCAAAACAGAAAAAAGGGGGACCGACTTAGATGTGGGTTTCAGATCAACAACCAAGGATTTTTCTTACAAGGGTGTCCCATGCAATATTTAGGATATACTTATAACTAATAAAAAAAGAAACCTACTGGTGTTTATTTCCTGGTGTTTTATCTAACAACCCTAGCACCCATATTCAAACAGCCCAATAATTGGCCTGATGAGGATCCCCACGTAGGGATTGCATTACGAGATGCACGTTAATAAAGGTTAAAAGGTATCTCCGCCACAGGGTGTGGGTTAAATAAATAAATGAATACAACAAAATCGTATGTAAAAAGTGCTCAGAACTGTCTCTGGCACAGAGAAAGGGYTGTGTGAATCTTCATCATTGTTACTGATATTATTATATCTTTTAAATAATGTTGGGAGAGAATCTGGAGGGGTGTCAGACAAAGAAAGGCCCAGCGGGGGGAACTGCAGAAGACGGGACCCTTTTTCTGCAGACGGGGGTCCCCAGAGTCGGCTCTCGGGCCTCGCTTTTGCAAAGTGGGAGAAATCCSGCTCACGGAGGCCCTTCGTGGGACACTGGGAGGCCACATACTTGAGGCTGGTGGGTCCTGATACCCGGGGACATCCCACAAAACCTACAGTGCTGGGTGCTAAGGGGCCAGGCTGCCAGAGGGTCACCCGAGGGACAACCATGTCCCATCTGCCTGTCCGACCTCGGTGGTGGCAAAGCAGCAGGTCTGAGAGCTCCCTGGGAGTGGCTGTCACAATCATGATGGGGGTGGGGGACCCTGGCAAAAATGCCCTGAGACGGTCCCCTTGCCATCCCCATTTTCTAGAACAAACTGAGGCCTGGAGAGATGGAGAAACTCGCTGGGGTGGCAGGGTCTGTAAACTGCAAAAGTGGATTTAAACCGAGGAAGGCAGAGGTCTGGGCTGGCAGAATGGCCCTGGTGGGGGAGGGGAGCTCTCCCGAGGCTCGACCCACTCCCCCACCCCACCCAGACATTCCTCTGGCCAGACAGGCCTGCAGCCAGGCCTCCACGGTGGACCTTGAAGTCCCTCTGAGTGTSCCCCTGGGCCCCTGCTCCCTCCCTTGCCCTGGGCTCACCTGGGCTGATGTTGACGTCTGTCTGTGGAAAGGCCTGGGCACAGACGAGGCTCAGGGAGGCAGCGGCCCACAGCCCCCACCTCTGCATCCTGAGCCCCAGCGAGTGGCTTCGGCTGGAGTGGAGCAGCAGAGCTCCTCAGCCAGGACTGTCCCAGGCGGGCAGGGTGGACCCCAGTCCCCTCCTCCTCCCTCCTCCCTCCTTTCTGCACCGCTGGAGGGAACCCTGAGTGACAGCAGAGAGCCCGCAGCCCAGGGCCAGCCTCCCTCAGGACCGTGGGGCCTGGGGCCTGGGTTCTCAGTCCCCTCCTGGGTCAGGGCGRTAAGGAGTCTCCCGTGGTCCAGCCTCTCCCGGGACAGGAGGCATCTCTCGCCCTGGGAGAGAAGAAGCGTCAGAAGGTAGCAGTAGAGGGGAATGTCGAGTGCGGAGGTCTCCTGAGTCAGGGGTGGGATCTGTTTGGTTCATRCACTGTTTTAAAATAAAATTWWAAAAAAAAGTCAGGACATAAAAGTAGGAGATTTTCAGTAGAATGGCATATTTCTGCCTCCTGTTAAAAATCTGAATATTGGAAAAGACTCAGTCATCATCTCCCAGGGAGAACAATCAATGGCACAGGGCTGAGAAACGYGCCGCCTCGGGCAGGGTCCATGAGCTTGGGGACACTGAGGTCCCACCCACTGGTCTACCCCGAAGGCACCTGGATCTATCTGTCCAGGGGCCTCCAGGTTCAAGGAGGCACCTGTAGAAGGTTCAATAGGGCTCCACAGGGTGCACGCTCAACAGAGAGCCAATGGTGGCCTTGGTACCCAGCTCCCTGTGTGATCCATTCATACTCAAATGTTTGAAATCCACTGGGATCTCACTGCAGTTATGGAGAATCAATATGGCCTCAAAATCAGAATCTTGCCAGGCTTGGTGGTGCACGCCTGGAATCCCSGTGACTTGGGAGGCTGAGGAGGAAGGACTGCAAGTTCAAGGCCAGCTTCAGCCGCTTAGCAAGGCCCTRAACAATTTAGTGAGAYCCCCGTCTCAGAAAAAAATAAAAAATMAAAAGGGCTGGGGATGTAGCTCAGTGGTAAAGTCCCTCTGGGTTCAATGCTAGCACCAAATAACAGCAACACYCACAAAAATAATAAACAAAATAAATAAAAATCAGAATCTCTCTCCTATTCTGTGCATCCTTAGACAAGTCATCTGGCCTCTCTGAACCTCAGTTTCTTCCTCTATAAAATAGGGGGTAAAAAGGTGCAGACCTCATGAAGATTAAATGAAATAATTGATTTATACTATTTGGCACAGATGCTGGTGAGAAGTAGGTGCTCTTTAAATGAGGGCATATTTTGTGATCATTTTTCTTGATCGGGTGCAAGACTTTTCCTGGCCACAGTCACTTTTTTTTTCCCTTCAAAAAACGCTCAGTCAGGTAGCTGGCATCCACGGAGAGGACTGGAATGTGTCAATTTGGTTTCCAAGTCACTCATTTTTCTCTCTGAAACACCCACTGCTGTGCCTGTGAGGAATAACTTAACTGGTGCCCACACAGCCGGCACCGGAGCTGAAAAGTCTGCCTTGGTCTGACTCAGGATCTGGCTCAATTCAGCCCCACACCAGTCCTCGGTGTGCCCTGGGTAGACCAGTTGCCTCCAATCGGTTGTACAAATGCACACCCCCAAGTGTGTGTGTGTGTGTGTGTGTGTGTGTGTGTTTATTCCTAGGTAGGACACACCTATTATCTAAGCATTGCTGACCATACTAATATATTGTGCCTGTTATAAACACAACCCCCAAGCTGACTTATTGAAGGTTGGTACACAACATAAATACCCCACAGGAGAAAGTTGGGCTATTTTATCCTCATGGACTCTCAGCCTGTGAGCTGGTTTGCAGGTCCCTGCTGTCACGTTCCTGGGGCTGCCTGTCAATCACACACAGCTGGCTGAGTACATTTTGTGCTGTTCTAACAGAATATTTGAGACTGGCTAATTTTTTTTATTTTTTAATTTTTTTTTTAAGATGTTGATGGATCTTTTTAAAATTCTATTCATTTATTTTTACGTCCTGCCGAGATTCAAAGCCAGTGCCTCCCCCAGGCGAGGCCGGGGCTCTGCCACTGAGTCCCAGCCCCAGCCCCTGAGACTGGCTGATTTATAATAAGCAGAAGCTGCTGGCTCACAGTTCTCAGGCYGGAAAGTTCAATGTCAAGGTCTCACAGCTGCCTGCTGCACCGGCACAGGAGGAGCCGGAGAGAGTAGAGGGACAAGCACCTTCCCAATGCCATCACAGTGACAACCGCATTTCAGTGTGAGTTGAGAGGGGACAGACATTCAAATGGGAGCCATGTGCCAGTGCACATGAACATTCCCGGTATGAAGGAGTGGGGTCCACACAGGTTGCTGGAAAGCCTTCCGCACAGGGAGAACCTTTGATTTGAAAACTAAGGTGATGTCTGGAGGTTTGGGTGAGTCAGTTCACGTTAGGGTCTGTAAACAAGTCTGGATGGCGCCTGGTATTTTGCCAGAGGGAGTGGTTTGTGAAGTAAGGCCAGCGAGCCATGAAGTGTGGAGCTTCCTTATTGGTTGACTGCTGTATCTAGTTTATGTTAATTAGATAAGCTGTGTGGAATGTATAAATACCCCTCCTGTCCTACAGTAAACGGCTCCCACTCCTGCTGTATCAACGTACACAAGTTGCTCGTCAACCCCCGGTTATTTTGCTGCAGCCGGACTGCGGCAAGTTCACGTCTCCTCTCTGGATAGAAACCCACAAAACATTTATTCCTTGCTCAAACCCAAGTGTGGTCCTAGAGCTCTTGAGCAGTAGAAAATCCAGCCCTGCCCAGACTCTCAGAGTCAGAATCTGCATTTTGATTTGTCCCCAGGGGGTTGTGTGCATAATAGTTTCTTTTTTTTTTT